CAGAGTGGTGAACGCGTGGAATGCGTTAGATGACGAAGTAGTGGTTGCCCCGCGCTGTGACCATCTTTAAGAAGAAGCAACGAGGGGAAGCTGAAAAGTTCGCGACTTTTCCTAGAAGAAAACGCAGATGAACTGAATAAACTGAATGGCAAACTGAATCAATTTTATTCAACAGTCACCCCTCAACTGTACACACTTGTTATAACGTTCCTCCAATTTTTGCAACTCCCGCAAAAAGAACTCCTTAGGTTGGTCCGCGAACCAGATCTCTGCGGCACCAATGGACTCCTGATCGGAAGCAAATCTCGTCTCCGTCAGGTGTTTCTTGACCGCTGTTAAGAGATGATAATCCGAGAGGGCGAGGTCCCGCGAATAGGCCGGGTGGTCCAACAATTCGAACCCCAAATACTTGATTTTCTGCGCGGTTTGGTGGGCGGTGTGGGCAGGCGCGTTGTCTTGCAGAAAGAGCATCCCCCGACTCAGCTTCCCCCGCCGTCTTTCCTTCAGAGCTTCCCACAATTCATCTCATAGGGACATGTAGTAGGTGGCGTTGATCCCCTGGCCCTTCGACAGGTATTTTATCAAGATTACACCGTTCTTGTCCCAGAACAGGGAAGCCATGACTTTTCCGGGCCATTTCTGAACGCGGAACTTCTTCGGCCAGGGAGACCCGCAATGGCGCCATTCTTTGGATCGTTCCTTCGTCTGGGGATCATAATGGTGGAGCCACGTTTCATCCATGGTCACCAACTTAGGGGATTTCTAGGGGGGATTTTCTAGGGGGGATTTTCTTTGGGGATTTCTGGGGGGGATTTTCTAGGGGGGATTTTCTTTGGGGATTTCTAGGGGGTTCTAGGGAACCCCCTAGAAAGTTACTCAATAAGATAAGTTTCAGATTCTCTAAACGATTGTGGCATTGCCTGTTTGTAATTATGAACTTAAGTGTTTTGAACTTATTTCCGCATTTCTCGCTACTGTAGCACAAGTACAGGAATCGGTTTTGCAGTCCATGGAAAGGACCTTTTCAATATGCTTTTTCATTACCATTGCAATAACGTGTACTTTGTTTACTGATGTGCATGTTTCTTTTTTCCCTCTGCCAAGCTGACATCGGAAACGTGAATAATCAACCCTTAGTTTGAGTCGTTCAATGGACCTGTAGTTTCCGTGACAGTATCTTCAATAGAAGTTGTATGTCAAAATATCAGGTTCTTACTAGTAAATTACACAGGGAGAGGGATTATACCTATGTTGTTGATTCGCAGGGTGGAGTGGTGAAGAGCCGAAAACATTGCATTTGGAGTTAATCATGAGATGTGGAGTTCCTTCACAAATAGCCATCCGACTTCTTTGATATTCCATGGATGTGAATAGTGTGGGTAATTACTATAGGGTGTTAATAAATTTTCCCTATAATTCCAAAATACGCCTTGGTTGTCAAGTCATGTAATCCGACATAAATGTTTTTTTTTTTTTCCCGATTATTGCCGTGCACACGTGGCAAAACTCTTGGTATGAAAAGCAATTTCCTTTTCTATGACAGTGGAGATGGAGAGTCACCGGAGGTCTGGGGTCACCGGAGGTCTGGGGTCACCGGAGGTCTGGGGTCACCGGAGGTCTGGGGTCACCGGAGGTCTGGGGTCACCGGAGGTCTGGGGTCACCGGAGGTCTGGGGTCACCGGAGGTCTGGAGTCACCGTAGGCAGAAGCAGAGTTCACAGAAGACAACTGTGATTAATTTCATCGACGTGTTTATACAAATTAATCATGCGATTCAACTGTCTTTGAATGAGTGGATCTCTTGCGTGTCACTAAACTCGATGCTGCCAAGTGTTGAAGACGTTATCGCGTATATTGGTTGCTAAGAAGATTGTGAGATAGTCCCTTCATTTTTGAAAAATTCACCGCCCCGCCCCTCCTTTTTCTCTTGTCATGTGATGCATTGTCTTGTTTCATGTAACAATTTCATTTGTGGCTTATTGCTTTACCTGTCAATACATACATATAAACGGATTAAATTGCATTGCAATTCATTTTGTACTTAATAAATATATGGGGATGGAAATGAAGTCCTATTTCTCCCTTGGAAAGGCTGTGTTTTGGGACAATTGGCCACTCTTACAGTCTGTGCGTAAACAAGGCCATTGTGATACCCACTGAATGGTTTTCTGGCCAGTTGACTGGAAACTCTTTGTGTGCCTTAAAATCCACAAGGCCGTTGACAGAATGGAAAACTGGCCAATTGGCTGAAAACTCACCCTCTTCTAGACATGCGCACGCCCTCCAACAAAATGGGGAATTGGACAATTGGCTTGGAACCCATCTTCTCAGAGACATTCAACATTCTTACTTGCAGGACTCCAAATCCATGGAAACCCATCCTGTGGCAAAAACAGGACAATATTGACCTCAATTAGGATCATAACTATCTGGGTCTCGTCAAATTAAAATCGTCGTACTTATCAACACTAACCATGGATTTAAATCATCGGGTCGGGAAAGAGGCGTACCTTCTCGTCCCTTTACTTTGTCCTGGTATTATACCAATAATCAACTAAATTGATATTGATGAAAATATGCTTTGTATGAAGCGTATTTGGCCTTAATTTGAGTATCTTGGAATAATTATTGAGGCCTGATTATTTGTCTGAAAAAACTGAGTGAATTCAACAAGGGATGATTACTGTCTGATGGACAAAATGAATCACTTCCAAGTGCATTGGTTTCTTTTAAAGGCAATTGCATGGATTATGCTGTCACGCCGGTCCAAAGGCCTCTATGAGGAGATTATTGCCCGTATTATGATCATTTTTAAAGCAATTGTGCAAAGAAATTCGACAATTGCTTACTTGAATTCTCAAGTCTTAATTGAATCTTGTTAGATGAGAGTTGAGCTCTCTTGTGAGGCACCCTATGGAAGTTGCGGTAGGTGCGTGGCCTCCTAGGTGTCGTGGGTGACCTTGGGTCACCGCTAGTATATTTTTTAATTCATGAAGGTCATTCCGTTTTCTATGAGCAGCAAGCGCCGCTCGCGTCAGTTCACGAGGAATTAATAGACGCGAAATTCATTTGAATCATCAAGCGCTGAAGGCGCGAGTGCATGAGGGGAACTCGCCAGCATTTGTGTATTTTAGGTGTCGATGATCGAACGAGGAGATCCCCTTAGAGCTCTCGTCCGGTTGAACACGGGTGGCGTTTATCCGTCTGTAAGCTCACTCTCACCGATGCGGAAATAAGCCAATGGAATGGTGCCCCGCAATGTGATTAAATGCTGGAACAATTGTGAGGAATGCAGGCGGCACGGAAAAGGAATAAGGAAGCTACTTTACTCTCAATAGCAAAAAAAAAACGAAATGAACGATTAAAACGGGAGACGAAACGTTGTACTATAACAATCATCATGGCGAAAGAAAGTATTTTTGATAAATTCGTACAACACAAAAATTTGGAACTTGGGTTTGGAAAAACCTTGGAAACTCGCGAACTCGAGAAGGATGTGACATCTGGTGCGAAATAAAAACCACACAAAAAATTCACATCTGAATTTGTTAGTTTAAGTTGATTCATTCGTTCGATTTTCCACAAACAACACTAGAGAATCACCGTCCCTTCAGGAATGCCGTAGTCCTCGTAAACGCAACCAGGAACATGTATCTCGGTGGCGAAACGCATTGGATGAGGGACTTCAGGGTAAGCGGAACTCGCAGATCACTCCCCAGAGTGACGAACAATAACAATCATTCCATCCGCCGGACATCCCTGACCAATACCCAACGTCTGAAAACCAATAATTCTGCATGCATTGCTCTGGGATCCCGTCCTTAGCAAAGGAAGGTTGTCCGGCTATGGTATCCCAATAGGTCGCAGGCGAAGCCGACACCAACGTTCCTGTGACGAAATCTCAACATGAGAATGGTATCCAATAGTTGGGGGATTTTCTCTCGAATTGGACTTCGTTACCGAGCAGGAATTTCAATGCTGAAATTCCTGTCGAAGAGACTTTCTAACTACACAATTGCCAATCCCGAACGACGTTAATGACTATTCGTCGTAATATGCGGTCGCAGACGAAGACAACGAAGACATCTTCACATGAAGGGTCTAGTTCGTTCTTATAAGATGAATGGAAATATATTCCATACCTGCTAGGCTAACAATTGGCTCGAGTTATTGCTTGGAAAACAATAACGAAATATGATTGATAGGCAGTTACGGTTCCGACCGATTTAACTTCAAGCACCCACAAATAAATTGTGACATCGACACGCTATAGTTCACGAGAATTTGGAAAGAACCTACCGTCGTTCCAAGTATAGATATGATCCCCATCGAGGTCGTCGCCTCCCAACCAAAAGGTGCTGGGCGATGCAATATTCGATGTGGCGTACTGTACGGTGTAGTCGTGCCAATAGATGCCCTTGTCATCCTGAACGAGGTGGTCCGCTCCGTCCGCCTTGCAAGCGGCCAACCCATCGGTGTAGTTCATGAATTCGGTGAAAGGCTTGAGGAAATGCATCTTGTCCGTGACCATAGCGAGGTTGTAACCGCGTGGAACGGAGCCTGCCACGATAAACATGTGGGAAGTTTATTCTTGTCAGGGACGAATAGCGAGTTACACGGCTCAAGATGTCGGACAGGAGGAGCTCTCGTCAAATAAAGGAAGCCAAGGAGAATGATTCAGATTCGATTGGAATATTCAATTGAAAAATTCGTCGGAGACAGGGAGGAATCCAGCTTCGAATCCCATTGTTTTCAGCTATAATGGATTTTTTCCAGAAGCTTACGGGTGGAATAGAGCGTAGCTGTCATGCCGGGGGGATTTTCCACGACGGTTGAAGACTCGCTTCCCAATTGACAGACCGTGGTGCTGGGGTTCGTCTCGAGAGAAAACGCCACGCATTCCACGTTCCTTTCAAACCAGTCATGGAAACGAATTAGCTCCGTGAAGATGCATTCTCTCATCGAAATGTTTAGATGTTTTTTTCCACCTGGCACACGAATCCGCGCAGATCGCGAGGTCGAAGCCGGCGAAGCCGAGTAAGGAATTCCGGATCGCTGCGTTGACGCCACCGAGCTCGTAGAAAATCTTTTGTACGATCGTTATCTTCTGCGACGTTCCGCGTGAGCAGGAATTGAAGAAGATGAGGAAACCGACCTGGCAAACAAAACCGTTTCTCATCACTTCTGACACATCTGAAACCTTTAAGGAAATCTTGCAGCTCTTTTTCCTTGTTAGTGTCTCTCGTCATCTCAAGGTCTAGCGAAGAATATTTAATTCGTTCCTAATATTTAATCCACATAAAGCTAGTGCTACCGACGCTAAGCACAATGAAAAAAACTTTGAAGTCATTTCATCATTGTAATACAATCAGAGACTCCCATGTTTGAAAATCAATTATATATGTTGTCGGAGAAACGAAGTGAAAGTGCTTATTTTGAGAAGAATATGACATGAAAGCGCGCTTCATCCTATCGGCCGGAGAGCATACAATAATCTTTCAAGGCGAAGAGTGACCCATCAGGAATATTGTAACGGAGGGAAATTGGGAGACGGACGATGGCAGGCATGAGAGGTCGAAAGAAGCCAAGGAACGGCCGGGAATTGAACTCCTGATTGCCGGTCAGGTGTTCTACCTCTACACCACCGAACCCAGGACATTCACTCCACCCTCTCGATGCCATCCTCATCCGTCACAATATGAAGGAAAAGTAGAAGGAACAAAAATATGTCTTCGTCCCTCATCCCTCGACTCACGGCCTGCAGGATCCCCAGTCGCCTCGCCGACTCCATGTGCCTCGCGTTCCTCGTCTTTCGCTTTCTCTTCGATGATTGCTTCTCGTACGATCCCTTTCCGAACGCGATCGAGATTCACCCGCGGCTGGGCCTGTTGAAAATAAAATCCTGTGGATTTAACTCTCGGAGTGTCAGAGCCGATTAGATTGCCGAAAAAAGAATTTCGCTTTAAAATGGCAGGGTGGAAGAGCTGATTGCGGCTAATTATTATCCAATTTATTTATACTAAAGACTGATTTGTGTCCCAATTGTTCAAGCAAAATACATAATTGATTTTTAATTTATTTTTTCATATAGTTTTGGTGAAGTTGATCGAATGGCATGGCATCAATATCACCAAATGTCGCAGAAATGAATGTGTCAAACCTGATGTGAAATAAAGGGAATGACACTTCTCCGCCTTCGTCAATTCTGGGTGCCTTACTTCTGGCTGTTTTCTTTTCCCCAAAACCCCAGTTGCCTCCCTTCTTGGCGGAACGATGCGTTCCGCGAAGGCCATCCGTGACCATGCACATCCAGCCATAGAGCACGGAACGACTCCCTTCCAGCGGAATCGACTAGGGAAAAGGATCCATTGTGCCCTTTCGTGCAGAGTTGCAGCACAGGGTCAACAATTTTCCGTGACTGCGAACGATATCTCCTAAATCACATGGGAACGTTATGACACATTCCTCCAGGGATGTGACTGATTATTAATAATGTTATTAATATTTAAGGCTGAATTTCCTTCCAATTACTCTAGCAATATATTATTAATGGTTTTTTTTTCCATTCAGCAGGAATAACACGATGGAAGATGGAGAGAATGGCTTGATTGAAGCACTTCTCTACTTCTATGGAAATATTATTTTCCTAGTTCATTATTAAGGAAATATGCCGTTCAGCTTTGAACATGGACGCCTGCAATGCTTGAACTTCGGGAGGGGAGTGGAGATGGGGGTGGACGTGATGGATGGTTCAGGCAGGTGTATCGAGGAAGGGAGCTAATCCTGTTCATCTTCACACCCTAAAAAAAGGAGTGAATATGGATAAGAGGGAGATGGTGCAATTGTCTCATCCCGCAGCACGACCACGACGATGCGTTCCGCAAATGCCAACCATGAACATGCACATACAACCCTAGACCGTGGAACAACTCGCTTCCAGTCGAATCGACTCGGCAAATGGATACAATGCGACGTTTCGTGCAGCAGGCCGGCACAATGTCAACACTTGCCATCATTGCAAGAAGGAGATATTGCAAACAGTATCTCCTTCATCGGAAAGAAGCCAGCCTGATGCAAAATTCACAACTACAGGAGGCGGTCTGGCGGCGATCGCTTATCAACTAACCTATTTTTGGGGGGAAACTATTGCCCGACCATAGATGTGATGGTTCCAGAACATGCCGTATATTACTGCAGCCTGTTGACTTTGCTTTCCTTGCCAACCATAGCTGGATGTGCATTTACACCCCAAGAAACACGATCATTAAGTGAACTGCAGCGAAATGTGCCACAGGAAAGCTAAACGATGAATTTAAAAAATCCTCACTCTCGACCATCCAAAACATCCCCATCCCGAATTCGAAGCCATTCTCGAAGAACAAGACGAATGGACCCGAAACGACCACGTGAAATTGAATTCCAGCAATCGCACATTCATGAAGTCTTTTGTTTTCATCGACATACACCTGCCACCATGTCGACTCTCCTCTGTGGACTCGATTAATGTCAATAATCGTTGTCGATCGCCTTGCATGAATAAAGGAATTCCCACCGAATTTCGATTGATCGTAATCTCGCTTAATCTCTTTGATCGCCTTCATTATGCCCAAGTCCGACTTCTTGCATTCTAAAGAAACTAGCGGCCTATGGCCGCAATTGCGACCGTCTACCCGTCCATATACTCACTGCTCATCAACCAAGAATAGTCTGAGCCAGGATCCCGCTGTCAACATTTCATCTACAATTGACGATGGAACATATATGCACCAAAGAGATGCTGAGGCACAGCGTACTACATATGTTAGTATGTACAAATTATAACTAAAATAAGTTCAAGTAAAGTAAATAAAAATGGGAGAAAGATGAAGAAACGGGACACACTTGCGAACGAAGTGGATGGTTGATATACTGAACAAAAAAAAAGTCCCAATGAACGGATTTGTCCGGTTTCGTCCTGCTCGGTCCACCGATGACCCGAATCTTCAGCAAACAGAGCGAACTCGCGAGCAGGCAATGTACAAATGAATATAGTATGAATGTATTCTGTGTTATATGGAGAAGGAGCCAAACATAGCGCATTAAAGTGTTCCATGAAATGGTGAGTATCATTATCCCTCCCAATTTTTTTCAGGTTCTTTCAGGGGAAGTCATTGACTCTCACTTATCGAAGAGGATAAGTATGCATGGTTTCGTCAATCCGTCCCTGGTCCAGGTCGAAACACGATCCTCACCTCAAAACGTTTGGGGGCTCGATTAGCTGAAAAATTAAGGGATTCCTCGTGACTGGCCAATACCGAACCCTACATGTCCAATTACTGCGGACAAGCCCCTAGTGAAAGTTTTATCATCAAAAGATGACTCGTTTAAATCTCTAGAACATTGAATCCACTAAGGTAGAAATCGCATAGCTAATGGAAGCCTGCGGGAGCCGATTCTTTGCTTTGATTATTAGATTCCTCGCTTTCCTTCAAGGGACCCCTCCCCCCGTCGAGACTGACAAACGTCCGTGTTTTGAAATTGCTTATTGAGTTCGGGCTGCCCTGTCTTTTTTTTCATTCGAAACAATAATTAAACTACCAAATGCACAAAGGAGAGCTGAAGCAAGATACTCCCCTCGATTCCCAATCGAAGAAGTTGGAGAAATGCGAAGTGTTGAATCTCGTAGAGGAAAAAACACTCACCTCAACGATAGAAGAGTTGCCGTGGGACTCCTTTCGCGTCCGGGGCAAACCGCGGTATAGCTGCGATGTTCCGCGTGGTCCCCATGCTGTTACCGGGAAACGGTGGGAGGTGTCGGAAGATTGGCCCTGATTGGCTGGAGAAGGGCATCGCCTCTGACTCGTCGTCCGACCGTTGGTCTTCGATATTCTTTCTCCTCAATTGCAACTATCAGTGAGTGATTTGCACGATAGGAACGAGTCCATCTCAGAATCAAGCAGGCAGGTTCGGAATTACATTGCACTTGAAACACAGTAGAACACAAAGTGTAGGAACTTAGAATGTCACAATGAGAGGTAGCAAGGAGGATTCCTTGCGCCAATTTAAATCCGTGAAATCCTAGAATTTTCATTTTTTCACGATTTTGCGAATTTTGAATTTCATGAAATCTTTTCGTTCATTAAACGGAGAAATATAACGATTAACCAGTCTGAGACTTGTTTCACGAATCCAAGAAATCTTTATTCTGTTAACGATTTGCAATTACCCAATTAGCACACTCACGTTGAATCAGCGATGATTCAATATCATTTCGCCGAAGCAGTTGACGTTGAAGCCACATGCCCCTGCCAACATTGATTTCTTATTGAACGTTCTTTTTTTCATAAACAATTGATTCAACGTTGACATCAAATATCAACATCGATTCAATGTTCAAAACTAACGTTGCTTCATTATTTTCATATCAACATTGATTTTACATTGAATGCCCATTTTCTTCCAAATTGAGAAAACGTTGAATCCACGTTGGTTCAACGTTGAAATGACAATCACAACACTCTAATTCATGCGCATGCGCCGTTTCGTGACTCAAGTGTTATTCAATATCATCTTGACACGATCTCTCTCCTCCCGAATTCTCTTTATTTGAGTCTCCCTCCATCCAAGAAAAATTACATCTTAATATAGAGACGAGAAAGGTCCATCCTACTCCCCCGGAAGCAGACCAACCGCGTGATTACAGAGATGAAATGAAAAGCTACTCTCCCTCTATGTATCCTTCGACGGTGATCGTGATATGGATTCATTCTTGAAGACAAGGCATCGTGGTCTTATGGAGTAATATAACCTAGCTAACTTTTTTTTTTACCCCATCACTCTGCACGTTAGCTCCTCATTCTTATAGCGTCTGGATGCTAGCCTGCTGGTCAGTCTCCGCTACGGGAAGAGGTCGGTTAGTCCTGGGGTGCTATGGAGGGTGGCAAAGGGCCATTGTCGTGCACCTGGTGCCGAAACATCGCATGCATAAGGCGGTTTGCCCCAGACGCGAAAGGAGTCCCACGACAATTCTTTTATCGTCGAGGTGAGTTCTTTTTTCTCTACGAGGTTCAACGCTTCGCATTTCTCGAGTTGCTTCGATTGGGACCCAAGGGGAGTCTCTTGTTTCAGCTCCCTTTATACATTTGGAAGGTTAATCATTGCTTCAGAAGTAAAAATGATAGAAAAGCCCAAGCGCAAACAACTGTTTCCAAATACAGACATTTACCTGTCTCGACCTTCCCCCTCATGTAGGGAAGCGAGAGATCCAATAATCAAAGCAAAGAATCGGCTCTCTCAGTATTTCATTAATTATACGAAAATTTCCTGGGTAGATTCCACGTCTTATAATAGCAATTTCATCATGATGTAATATGAAAGTCTCTTTGTTACCGAGCAGGAATTTATAATCGGAAATTCCAGTCGAAATCCAGTGCGAGAGAAGATCCCCCATCCATTGAATTGCATTCTCATGTTGACATTTCGTCGCAGGAACATTGGTGTCGGCTTCGCCAGAGGTCTTTTGGGATGGCACGCTCGCAGAGCCTCCCTTTGCTAAGGACGGGATCCCGGAGCAATGCATGCAGAATTATTGGTTTTCAGACGTTGGGTATTGGTCAGGGATGTCCGGCGGATGGAATGATCGTTATTGTTCGTCGCTCTGGGGAGTGATCTGCGAGTTCCGCTTACCCTGAAGTCCCGCGTCAATGGTAAGAATGAAAAGAGCTTGAAGTTTCCATTAAAGGCTGCAGATGTATCAGGAGTCACGAGGGAGAGTTTATGCTCGCCAGGTCGGTTTCGTCATCTTCTTGTATTCACGGGGAACGTCGCAGGAGATCATCGCGAAGAAGATTTTCTTCGAGCTCGGTGGCGTCAACGCAGCGATCCGGAATTCCCTGATCAACTTTGCCGGCTCCGACATCGTGAACTGCGCGGATTCGGGTGCCAGGTGGAAAAATTCCCCTCGAAACATCATGTCAATTCATTGCATCTACGTGGAGCTAATTCGTTTCCACGACTGGTCTTTCAAAAAGGAACGTGCAATGCGTGGCGTTTTCTCTCGAGACGAACCCCAGCACCGCGGTCTGTCAACTGGGAATAAAAATTCCACCGTTCTGGAAAATCCCCCCGGCGTGACTTCTACGCTCTATTCCACACGTAAGCTTCTGGAAAAGCGTCGCTATAGCTGAGAACATTGGGGATCGTTTGAGTTTCGAAGCTGGAGTTCACATGGAATCTCCTACCCATAATTCAATTGAAATTTCTAATCGAATCCGCAACATTCTCGTTTTCTCTGCTGGTTCCACGAGACTTCCTCGTGTCCGAGATCTTGAGCCGTGTGATTCGCTCTTTGTCCCTCACATGTATCATTTTCCTCATGTTCCTCACGGCAGGCTCCGTCCAACGCGGTTACAACCTTGCGGTGATCACGGACAAGGTGCATTTCCTCAAGCCTTTCAGCGCCGTCGTGAACTACACCAATGGATTGGCCGCTTGCAAGGCGGACGGAGCGGACCACCTCGTTCAGGATGACAAGGGCGTCAATTGGCACGAGTACACCGTACAGTACGCCAAGTCCATCCTGTCGATGATGAATCCCGCAAGGAGAGGCATGAACCATCGAGGAAGATCCCCAGTCAATATGAGAAGAATGGAGAGGAGGATGGGAAAGAGGAAACACAAAACAGATAGCTCTTTCTTCGAGACTCTCCAAGAGTCTTAGGGTCTTTCACTTCTCCGATATCTCGTGCCATTTCAAGGTGTCAATTCCAGAATTCCAGACACACTCGACTCGCAAAGTGAAGCGCTGGGAGCGTTAATCCATCGTCACACCGACTGACTTTGCTCTGGCAGGGGAAGGTCGAGAGGAAGATACCGAGCAGGTTCAATGTTGCCTTTTGTATCCAAAAGAATGTGGGAAATTTTCGAGAAAGTCTGGTTGAATCTTATAAAATTTAGAAAATCATCAATGGAAGGAAAGAAAAGCGGCATATCATCCCAGAGTCAAATTTTTTCTACTACTATTGCCAGCTATGCATTCCCGTACTTTTCTTGTGAGATGGTCGGGCATAATGACCTATTAAATGTCACTTCGACAGTTCCCAACAAAAAAAATATAATCAAAATTGCTATACCTTTCCAGCAAGGTTATGCGAATTTTCAGAAATTTTCCGGAAATGCGGTGAGCTCAAAACGCAAAATACTCCGATTTGCTGAAAATCAATCGTCCGAGAATGAGAAATCTGTTCTCACCGTAAAGTTTTGCCGAAACGGCATACACGGAAAAAATAACGATGGACGCTTCTGGTCTCGGCAGTAAGAGCTCCAGACGGGCCCTCCGCAATGGAAATGAGGGTCAGGAAATAATGGAAATAATTAAATGTCACCTCGACTGTTCAGAAAAAAAATATCTCATCGCAATTGCAATACCTTTCCAGCACGGTTATGATGAGCAAAATGAAATTGCCCTGCAAACACAGGCCAAGGATGGCATTTCCAGGTCCCATGACGGGCGATCCCCGATATTTCCTCACACGGAATAGGGACGATTCAAACAGGCGAACACTCGAACAGGTGAAATAAATAGAATAGAAGCCTGTTCCGATGCCCGCCCGTGCATCAATAATCGGGGAGAGCGAGCTAATTTGAGAGGAGAAAAAAACTGGATACATTTTGATCTTCACCAAAATGTGTCCTGACCCAACACAGAAACATCGGCCATTTCCATCATTTTCTGACTGGTTCTACCTCAGAACCGAATCCGGAACGCATCTTCCTTCCAAAATGGTTCTGGACGCGTTCTCGTCGGGAATCGCTTCTACACTTCTATTCAAAAATTCTTTTCCAGTGTTCATTGCGAAGGGAAGTTCGCTGCTCAGCTTTAAGCATGGACGCATGCAATGCTTGAACTTCAGGGGGGGTCAGGGGGATCGAGGAAGGGAGCTCATCCTAATCCTCTCCACCCCTGAGAAAAGGTGAGGATGTGGATAGGAGGGAGATGGAATTGTCTCATCCTTCGGCACGTTTCCTGTGGGAGATTGGCCATGCCATCGATTATCAGGTGATGTGCTGAAGCAGTAATTGCTTCAATTTTTTCATCAAATTTTGGCAGGCAGCCTCTGATTGATTCACAAAAGGAATCCTTCGCCTCCAGACGACATTCAGCTAGATGCCTTCATTTTTACGAAAGGTAAATCATCGTGAATGTGTTGAAAAGGCACAAGAGAGTCGTTCCGTGCGAAATTAAATTCAAACTCCGAGTGAGCCTCTGTCGAATGGATAAAAGCGCGACTCGACTGCATTGAAACCTCGCCACGGTTCCATGGAAAGGGTCAGAACGCCCGTCTCAACACCCGCCGACGGAGAGGGGTGAAAACGCTCCAACTCGCACGGAGCAAGGACGAACCCAGCCCCCCACCCCCGGCGCCGCGTTTCGCCTCGCTCGGGTGAGCCGACTGCGCTGCCGAAGGGCATCGGGGGAGTAGAGACCTCCCTGGCCGTTTAGAGGTGTTTCCGGGAATTCTCTTCGATTCCAATGGCATCTTTCGCGTGGAATGGATTTCTCCTCATCGCCATGGATTCGTTTGGCCTGAACTGTCAATAATGGGCGAATCGGTTAAACTAAGATACCTGCAAGGCGGCCGTAGCGGTTATTAAGCCACTACCGAGAACCAGTGCTGTTATGTATAGAGCTCTATTAAGGAAGGAGCCCACCTCTCGGTGTATCTTAGGATAGGATACCTATGCATGGGGAACTGCTTCAGGGCATGGCTTGGCATGGATCGGCTTGATATTAGATCGACACGAGGGAGGGAGTTCATACCCAGGTTAGAAGAGTAGAAAAGGTTGGGCTACATCCCAGCCGGGGGTGGGAAGAGAGAGAGCCAATGACGTCACTGGTATACACCCTCCTCCGCTGACTGATAAAATCTCCTTTTTCTAGTCCGTTTCTCCTCTTTTAAAAATGTAACATCCGTCAGTTTTTCCCTGCCATATTGCCTTGCTCTTTGCATCTCTATTCTATTACGCTCGAACGATTGCATCTCTAGATTGTGGCGCTGCCAGTTTCATAGCATTTGCAGATGCCGGTCCTATGTGCAGTCGCCGCCTGCAAGAACATCTGATGATTTTGGAGCCGATGGAGAGACACGTTCGTTTCATCGCTTCAAAGGAACCTGGGTTGTGAAAGACCTAAGTGATGCGGTGGAAACGCGCGGAAAATGAAATTCCTGAAGTAGACTGATCCCAAAACAACCCTTTTGGATCGATTGTCATCTTTCGCCGAGATGATCCGATCGAAATTCCAAGTCTACCATTGAGTATCCCAAATATCTGTGAGAACGCGGCTGTTCACCTGGATTCTCTTCGTAAATTCTGAGTTGCTCAGCAAGAGCAAGAAGGTGAGAAAGGAATGGAAGTCTTTCGTTGTAGTTTTTCGAGAAGGAATATCTTGATGGTGGTCGTGAAAATCACGTGATTTGCCCCATGACCATGACAAACAAGCTCCCTTCCTCTGATTTGGGGATTCAGCAATGCAGAACGAGGAAGTCTGACAATGAACTCATATTTTCATTGGCATTTCAAAAGAGCAAATGACACGTGTTAACAATTTCCGTAAATAATAATATATTCTCACTACAGTCGCACCTTCCTCAAACTTTTCAGTACGGAATCCTCCCCGCCTCTTTCCCATTCGATGCTTTCCCATCTTCAATTTAAGGGATATTTTTTTGAATCAGCGATTGGTTACGAAATGGTGACATTACGCTTCAAATATCATTACATCGGAGGAAAACCAATGGCGAGAATGGAGCAGTCGAGGATGGTGTATACCAGTGACGTCATTTGCCCTAGGGCTAGAAACGCCATTATTCGCCATTATAACACATGCAACTGTAAGCAACTGCCCTTGAGCTTTATTGATGGACATCGCAAAGGCAAGACGCACTGGAAACTGCAGTCGCTTGAGTTCCATTAGCATATTAATAGGATTTACAGCTTTTCGCGGTATGAATGCATCTTAGCGCAGCCTGTCAACATTGTTGCTTCAATGACATGAGAATTAACATTTTTTCACATAATCTTTTGTCATTGCACAGTCTTAGTGCATTCAAGTTCCTCAGCAGCATGAGAGAACCAATTTTGAGCAGCAAATTATGTGCCAGCATCCCAGAAGTCTTGAAACCCAGTGGGATACTGAACCGCCTGGTTAACATCCACATTTGTCGACTGACTCGCAATATCTTGCTTCTCCCGGCATCTGTTGTTGAATCTGTAAGTTGATGCATTCACGCTGATATTTTTACGAGCAAGAATGACACGTTCAAAAAGGCATTTGTGACATTTGAAATGGTGGTGGATGTTTGGGAACACATTGGCTTCCGGTTCTTCAATTGACTTTATAACAATACAAAAGCTGTTTGAAATGCTGTTGAGTCGGGTCAATTGGCACTTTTCCATCGCCAATATTGAGCATTTGTTGAGCAAAGTGGTCAGCAGATAAATCACCTGCAAGTGAAGTAGCACGTTGGTCATAAGTCCCAGCTTGCGCACATATCTCCAGAGATACGAAGCTCTCTCGTAAGTATTAAGTTCATCGGCCATTGTTCCGTTTGAAATGACGGGCAGCGTTTTTAGCGAAAATCACCTTCCAAGAATACAACTACCCCACCCATAAGTGTCTGGTTACCCTTAGGTCGTGAAGGGTTCGATCGAGTGCCTCCAATGCGTGTTTGCGAGACATTGTGCACTCGTACCACAGAATGACCTCACACTCTAGCAGAAGCTTGGCTTGTTCTGTTCCTGTTCCTGTCTCTCTTGTTCCAAATAGTGCGTCAAGGAAAAATATTCCTCCGGTTTTCCAATTCACCAGGTCCAAGATGGCACTGTAGATGGCACAATTTGATCTGCGGCCAACAATGGCTCATTCGCTGACACATACCTACCCAAATTGTCCCCCTCGTAACTTGTTTCTCTAAGCATTTCCCTGCTCAGTCGATCGCCCTGATTTCTTAGGCGAGAGGGAAGGTTAAGCTACTTGACGTCCTTGCCAACTACCTCCAGGACTTTGTCTTCGAGGAGCATCAGTGCCTGGTTGCACACGCCAGGTGTATAAACCAAATCCATCTCAGAATTTTGGCTGCGGGTTTGCACAAAAACGTCTTCGCTCAGGCTATCTTTGTGGGACTCCAACAACTGTCTCGGGTTGGAAGGCCCGCAAGTGGTCAGCCGGATGGCAAACAAAATCCTCAGCCTTGCCGGGACCAAGTCGCAGCTGCATTCGTGGCATTATAGTGTGGTTCACATTCAAGCAACCTTTTATTTGGCAGGCCCCAATGTTGCGCAGGCCGAAATGTTGCGCAGACATGGCCATTAACACTCCTGAGGGTCTCAAGCGAAGTAGGACCTCTGACAGGGCGAAGTAAGAGCCGCAGGAATAAGCATTCAAAGTTTTTTTTTATGCACAGCATACTGTAGACGCGGCCAAGAGCATCTGTTGCTCTTATGCCATCGCCAGGGACAGCGGCTCCCCGAACTCGAAGCTTCAAAACTTTTCTTGATGCATTCCAAGTGCAGTGCTTGCGCACATCACAATACAGTAGCGTTTTGGCAATGTCATCTTGCTGGCAGAGAAGGAAAAAAGCAGTCAATTTAGTCTTCGGCGACTCCTGAACTCTCTGAAATAGGATGTCATTCGTGAAATAGACTCGCGGCCCAATTTTT